GTGGAGAAAAAAAGTCAAGTACTAAGTGCCAGAAATGCAAAATATATGACAATTTCCCATAGATGTGATTACTGTTGTCATCACGCCGGCATCACCTCTTTCACTGTCAAATTGTAAGTCAGATTATGTCAGTGCTTATCTGATCAACGGGCAATGGCCGAGGTGTCAGAAAAACCACAGTTCGATGGTGACTGTTTCCTTCCTATGCAAAAGACACGTGTGCTGTGGTGATCCTGGCCTTCACCTTCAGGAGTCTGAAATCATAGACATATGTATAGTAAGATGTGCAAAGCAATTGACCAGTGATTTATTACAACACATAACGCCATAGGTAACTGTCAAATAAAAGCCCAAGATGTCCGGAGCTCCACGGCAACGCGTGGAGATGCCTGGCATTGCTGTAGGTAGCCGTCTGTGTGAGCAGTGCAGTCCCACAAAGATGGCCCAGATTGGGAAGAAGTGCAGCCATTGTAGGCCCTCAGATCGTCCCTGTGCTCACCACCCTGGCCTTTTCTCCAACTCTTGTTGCATCAGGTAGCACCTGCTGCTTCCTTCCCTCTCCCCTCCAGCGAATGGTAAGCTCCCAGAGGGCAGGGCCAAGTCGCATCCTCTCACTGTCCCAAGCGACTGGCACAAGGGAGCTGCTCGGTCCATTCTTGACGGATGAATGAATAAGTGGTGATTAACCTAAGAAAATTCTGCCATTTCGCATCTTGGGGATGCCTTACAAGAGAAAGGCATCATTTACAGAAGGCTGCAAGAGGGCTCTTCAGTTTATAGACCTACATATCCAAGCCGGCCTAACCATTTCTACCTGGGGAGCTAAAACATGGAAGCTCTCAAACATGAATATGCATTAGAATCACCAGAGGAGTCCCCGTCAACCTCCAGCTTTTCTGCACAAACCATGTGGGACTGGGCCCAGGAGTCTGCATTTTAACAAGCCCCCCCGCCCATTATTCTGATTCAGGGAGTCACAGAACACACTCAGAGAACCCTTTTCAATCACCAGGCCCCTAAGAGCACAGGCTTGGCATTAGATAGAATCAGCTTTATCCCTGTTCTGTTACATATTTCCTAACTACAGGGCCAAGTTGCACATGTTTCTTAAGCTCCTTCTGCCTCAGTTTCCTCAGTTATTAAAAGGGGATGAGTACAAACTCAAAGACAGAAAGGAGAATGGTGGTGGGCAGTGGCTCATGCCTTGTAATCCCAGCACTCTGGGAGGCCGAGGCAGGAGGATCACTTGAGCCTAGGAGTCTGAGACCAGCTTGGGCAGCATAGGGAGACCTTGTCTCTACATAAAAAATTAGCTGGGCATGGTGGTGCACACCTATGGTCCCAGCCACACAGGAGGCTGAGGCAGGAGGATGGCCTGAGCCTGGGGGGTCAAGGCTGCGTTAAGCCGTGATGATGCCACTGCACTCCAGCCTGGGTGACAGAGTGAAACCCAAGGATTCTACTTTTGGCATCCTTGTTAAAAGTAGAATGGTGGTTGCTGGGGGCAGGGGGACATGGAAATGGGGAATTGTCTAATAGATACAGAGTTTCAGGGATTTGGGTGGGGGGAGGTTTAGGATGGAGTCTTGCTGTGTCACCTAGGCTGGAGTACAGTGGCACAATCTCCGCTCACTGCAACCTCTGCTTCCCGGGTTCAAGCAATTCTCGTGCCTCAGCTTCCCGAGTAGCTGAGATTACAGGTGCCCACCACCACGCCCAGCTAATTTTTGTGTTTTTAGTAGAGACAGGGTTTCACCATGTTGGCCAGGCTGGTCTTGAACTCCTGACCTCAGGTGATCCATCTGCCTTGGCCTCTGAAGTGCTGGGATTACAGGCGTAAGCCACCGCGCCCGGGCTGCAGAGTTTCAGTTTTGCAAGAAGGAAAAGCTCTGGAGATCTGTAGCACAATGTACATAGAGTTAACACCACTGAACCGTATGCTTAAAAACATCTAAGATGGTGAATTTTATGTTATATGTTTTTGCCACAACTAAAAAACAAAAGTTTTACTGCGGATGGATAATGGTATCTACTTCAAAGTGTTGTTATGAGCATTACATGAAATAATGTATTTAAAGTGCCAGGCAACAGGCCCCAGACTAGGAATTGCTCAAAGAATTATAGCTATTATTATGACAGTAGCATGGGTGTTAAAAAATTTAACCATGAGGCCGGGCGCGGTGGCTCACACCTGTAATCCCAGCACTTTGGGAGGCCAAGGCAGGCAGATCACCTGAGGCCAGGAGTTCGAGACCAGCCTGGACAACATGGTGAAACCAAGTCTCTACTGAAAATACAAAAAAAATTAGCCAAACGTGATGGCATGCACCTGTAGTCCCAGCTACTTGGGAGCTGAGACAGGAGAATCACTTGAACCTGGGAGGCAGAGGTTGCAGTGAGCCGAGATTGCGCTACTGCACTCCAGCCCGGGCAACAGAGTGAGACTCAGTCTCAAAAAATATATAAATAAATAAATATAAAATATAATCATTAAGGAAGATTTCAAACCTTCCCCAAAAATCCAAGTAGCTTTTTGATGAACTGCATTTTTCCAAATCCTGACCAGTAGACTATTTTCATCTCACCTATAGATCCACATGTTTAAAAAAATGCCACCTAAATTACAAGTGGCTATGTGAGAGCCTGGGGATATTCACGCTAGGCAGTTTCGTTCATAACACTGAAATCATCCATTTGCAGAGATGCAGGACACAGAACAAATATGCTACATTTTGTTTTGTACCTTAAGCTTCATTAAAGAAAATCAAGCAAAACCTGCCACCATAGAAGAAATGATCTCCCAGTCTTGAAAAACTATGTGAAGTGTTTTTCATCTTTGATATGCACATGGAACCCAAAGCAGGTTCGGGAACGTGGCACAGACTCACGGCCACCGTTTGGATTCTCTGTGCACCGTTTTGATTTCATGTGCATCTATGCTAATTTCATCTCCCCAGCCTATTGTTTAAACCCTAGCAGGACAGATGTGCTGTTTTACAGGGCCATAATCCACTTGGTGGGCAGATAACCAAGAGGCCTTTGGTCTTCATCATTTACTCCAATAAGAAAACTAGACGACTGCCTTGTAAAACAGCATGTGACCCAGGCCCTGATTTCCACATAACGCCAACCTACAGGACCTCCTCGGAACTTCCAGCCAAATTAGGAAAATTCCTCCTGGTCATCAGCTCGAGGCTGAATTATGTTATGGAAAGGACAGTCCGGGGGTATAAACAGTAAAAACGAGAGGACTGGGAAGTGACTTGCAGTACAGGAATTTAGGCCACACAGGTGTTCATATGAGTAAGAGTCATCATTCTAAGGCTGAGAAGGTTGGCCACTACTGGTAAAAATCCTGATCCTAGTAGGCTTAGAATCTCTCTCAATCGAAAGATAAATCCCAAAAGTCATTGCTAAGGATTCCCCCCATTTTTCTTTACCTCCATCCTATATATAACCATAACTTATTACCTCTCAGCCCTCATCATGGGAGCCCAGCACTCCTATCCCAGCAGCCCTGAGTAACATCAGCATTGACTGTTGGGAAGTGGTACTTGTGAAATCCAGAAACGGGCTGCAATAGATGCAAATGGACCATCATCAATGTGCCTTAGGATTGCCCCAACCACCTCCAGATATCAAAGGACCCCTGCACCCCACTCCCACCAGCATCCTTGCCCACAGGTCAAAGCAGGGTGGATTAGGATGAAGGGCTATCATTGTAAGCAACAAAAGGAAGTGATGAACACAAATAACCAGACATTAACTTTGGGTTCTGAGCATGCTGCTTTCTGTCCATTTAATCTGTCTTTTGCTGATGCACTTAAAGAAGCTACCTTGTCTTCTTAATGTGGGGATCTCTGATGAAGGCTTGAAGCTCTGAGACCCAAGCATCAGCCCCAGCTCTGGCTTTCCCTAGTCACGTGACCTTGGAAGAGCACTTCTTTTTTTCCTTCTTTTATGACTCTGAGCCTCCATTTCCTCATCTAGAACAGGGCTTAGGTTACTTGACACAGTCTATATAAGTATGGTAGAAGTTTTTTCAAAAAATGAGTCTGTAAAATGGGGCTATTCCAGGAGATTTTAGAGACGCCTTCCCATCTTAACATTCAACCGATCTGTGATTCTTTTGTTACAGCTCATGTCCCTGGTATTTCTTTCTTTTTTTGAGATGGAGTTCCGCTCTGTTGCCCAGGCTGGAGTGCAGTGGTGTGACCCTGGCTCACTGCAACTTCCGCCTCCTGGGTTCAAGCCATTCTTCTGCCTCAGCCTCCCAAGTAGCTGGGACTACAGGCATGTGCCACCATGCCCAGCTAATTTTTTTGTATTTTTATTAGAGACAGGGTTTCACCATGTTGGCCAGGCTGCTCTCGAACTCCTGACCTCAAGTGATCCGCCTGTCCTGGCCTCCCAAAGTGCTAGGATTACAGGCATGAGCCACTGCGCCCGGCAGTCCCTGGTCATTCTAATCGTCTTCTGTAAGTGTGTACCAACAGACTCATCTCTTTGTACTCAGTACTATCCTACCTTGCATTTTCTCATCACCTTATCAGGTTACCTCTCAATTATGTTACAGCAAGGCAGTAAGATTTTGCCATTAGCCTGACGGTACAAATTTTTAAAACAATAATCAGTTGCCAGAATATATTCCTGCTTTTAAAGTTCTACATAATATTTCAAAAATATATAGGGAAGTATTTGGATTTTCCTCCCACAGCTGTTTTCTGCTTGATTTCAAGAGCTAACTGAACAGTTTCCTGTCTTGTGTCCGATGTGTTTTTCCTCTCCATTAAAATGCTGAAGATTTTTATTCTTTTCCCGTCTTTAGGGGAAAAAAGAAATCTCTCCTCTGTAATTTACTTTGGCTTTCTCAAAAGTTGGGTAGGAAAGTCAGTATAATTCAGGTGGAATCTAAAATGTTCTTGTTGTGCAAGTGTGCACAGAAAGGAAACCTATCATTTGAGCATTCTTTTGGGAAGTTCGCATTCTCTGTTTTCCAGGGAGCCTTTACTTTCCAAGGGAGTATGATCGACATGCCATTACTGAAGCAGGCCCAGAACATTGTTACGCTTGCCACCTCCATCAAGGAAAAATGATCTGTTAAATGAAGCTCTCATCAGGTGGGCTGAACATATACAGTGGGTTTCTTAAAGACAAACCACAATACTCAAAGCAATGTGTTAGGATGCCAGATTGGGACCTGACTCCATTTACAGTTCATGTGAATCACGATTTTGTTGTTGTTGTCTTACTGGCCAGTTATTCCCCTAAAAAAAATGAACGTTTTTCCTTTTGGATCCAAGTTTATGACTTTATCATTTTTAGTGTGTTACAAATATGGGCTTATGATTTCACAGGGAGGTAAGATCCTGGGGAAAGGTGGGCTGTGAGAGGAAGGTAGGTCTTTAATGGCACGGTCTTTCCCAAATAGACATATTCCCTCCACCCTTCTCATGTTAGTAAATGTTTCCTGCTTGTTCATGTGTACAGCTGACACCACAAATAATTTTAAGAAAGCCAGGCCTTTAAAAAATAGCAACAACATTAAGGGCTCATCTCTATTTCACTAGTAATCTGATAAAACAACAGAGATGGCATCAGAAAAGGATACTAAGTACTATATTGGCTTAAAAAGACACTTTCTAAAAATAAACTTTCAAAACTGGTCACTATTAACCTCCAGCCACAAAATGAAACATCCATCTCCTTGAACCGCTAGATGATGAACAGGAAAGCTGTCATCCTGGGTGAATGCTGTGGGTCAACCGTTACTGGCAATTAAAAAATAAATGTGCAGAAACACACGACCATCCATTCTCCCCCTTTATTTTCCCGTTTAACTGTTTGCCATTGAGGCCATTTCCCCCTGGAAATGTATGGCCGAGACAGGACTCCCTCAGTCATAAACTTGTAGCGTCTCAGGAGACACAATGCCCCCGAGCTGGTGCATGTGGCCCCTGCAAGATTTGCATCACATTAGAGATGCGGCTGCAGGTCAGATGGGTGGTGTGGTTAACGGGCTTAGTAAAGCTGTTTTGAAGAGGTTAACCCAGCTTGTAGTAAGGGTAAATAAACATAACAACCAGCCATTGTTCCCTATTCAGCATGTACTCTTATATTGAAGGCTAAAGGGTATTGAAGCTGCAGAGGGATCAACTTGTGCTTGCCAGAGGACGCCAATGAAGTTTGAAACACCAACAATCAGAGATTTTGTTTCTGTTCCTCATTAAATCATGAGCTTTTGTGCCGAGACTCTGGACGACTGTTCCTTAAGAAATTAACAGAATGGGAAGTTTTAAACTCTACACCAACCTTTTCATGACCTACACAGCAGCAACACTGCTACTCTTAGACAAACACCGCGGGGAAGGCTGTTCTGTTTATTTAAATTTGTAAATAGAAAACAGTTGTTTTTTACTTTCATTTTTCACCTCCTCCTACGCCCTTTTGGATTATTTCCTCCGCAGCC